TTTTTGAAGCATAATAACATGAGAAATATTAAATGTAAATGTAAAATGAAATCTTTTTATTATGTATTTCCCTATGAAAGTTTGGATATTTGCAAAAGAAAATGGATAATGTGTAAATGTGGTGTGAAGCATAACAAAATGAATACCTGTGAACATACTATACACTTTACCAGTATGGCTAAATATAATAAGTTCTGTGTTACTCCTGTCTATCTATAAAAATGAGTATTTCAAAATGTTCACAGTTCTTATTTTGCGAGGAAGAATTTTAAGTGATCCCTAGGTTTTGTTTATGTGTTGTGTTTGTGCCTCCTAACTTCTTTTTTTTTTTGTTTTTCTCCGGTACCGGGAACCGAACTCACGACCTTGCGCTTGCCAGGCAGGCGCTTTTGTGCCTCCTAACTTCTGGTTAAGGAGTATTTGCAAAACCAGCAAGTAACAGTAACATTATCGAAAGGATAAAACATTTAAACTGGTTTTTAATTCCATCCCATTGGAACGAAACTTCTTAAAGTGCCTGCCATCTGCTATTTGCTCAGTAACAGGTCATGGCCAGATACATAGGACGGTGTTATCTACCATTTGTAAGCAATACACTGTGACAGAGCACCGGAGATTAGTTTTAGGAGTTGTGGATTCCTTGTCATCTAGGTGGTATGGGAATGACCTCTATAACATGCATTTTTAAAACCTTTTTCATAGTTCATTTCCCTTAAGAAGGGATTCATTTCTTCATTTGTCAAATGTTTGTTGGGTACCTGTTAAATACCAAACAGGAGTGATCAAGAGGGTTGTTGCTTTCTTGGTACTTACTTTCTAGTGGTCAAAGAAAGAGGGACTGATGTAAATTGAGTGGCCGCGGTCAGAGGAAGGCTACTAGGGAGGTTTTTGAAGTAGGACCCGAGTGACAAGATACCACCTTAACAATAATTTGGAGATAACGGGAAGCAGCATGGGCAGAAACTCCGTGGCACATTCTGGGAACAGGGAAAAGCCCAGGGTGAGTGAAATGTGGTGAGTCAGGGGGGTGAAATGGATAAGAGAGGAAAGGGGAGGTAGCCACAATTGGATCATAAGGGCACTTCCAGACTTTAGTAAAGTTAGCATTTTATACCAAACTCAGAAGGAAATTGTTGGATGGCATTAAAAAACCTGCGTGTTCTGAGTTTTTTTTTTTTTTTTTTTTTTTTCCGGTACCGGGAACCGAACTCACGACCTTGCGCTTGCCAGGCAGGCGCTTTTGCCGCTGAGCTAAATCCCCAGCCCCATGTTCTGAGTTTTTAAAAGGTTACTTTGACCACTATTTGGCAAATCATTGTAAAGGTTCAGGAACGGGAGTGAAGAAACCAGTAAAAAGTCATTAACAGTGCCCCAGGTGAGACGTAGTGGTGGCCAGAGTAGAAACATTGGGGAAGGAGAGAGGTACAGTACATGGATTTGAGGTCTTTTGCAAGTAGAGCCTGTTGATCTTGGTTAGGGTAATATACAGGAAGCTGCAAGAAAGGGGAATTAAAGATGTCTTTTAGGACTTTGAACACTTGGGAAGAAGGTGTTTTCATTTATAAATATGGGCAAGATGTTTCAGGCAACTTGGGAAAGGGTGGTAAGAGTGTTGTGGTTTTTAAAGTGCTGTGAACTATGGATTGAGATGTCCAGTAGGCAGTTAGGACCAAGGTGAAGAGGCTTAGGATTGAAGGTGTAAACATTTGTAGGTCATTAATGTATATATACAGTATTTAAAGCCATGAAACTGCATGAGATTGCTAAGTGAGAAGTAGAGGTAATGAGGATTGAGTCCTGGGACCTCCAGATAAAGGTCTTGGCAGTAGAGAAGGACTTTGCAAAAGTGGTTGAAAGGTGAGGGTTAGTTGGCAGGAAAATCAGGGAGGGGGAAGGTCGACTTGATCTAGGACTTGGGTGACAAAAAGGTAGAGATGGTGTTTCAGAAGGAAGGGCAGGTCTGGCTGAATAGGGCTGAGAAGAAATAAGATGAGATCAGCAATTTGGTGGCTTAAAATAATGAATTTATTTTGTCAAAGTTCTGGAGGCTAGAAGTCCATAATCCCATTTTTTTCATGCATACTGCACACGTAGACGACTCTGTCACTTGTCCCAGGACTGGAGGTTGATCAGACTGCTTGTGTATAGATAATCATGTTCACTGCTCAACAAGAGAAAGGAGCAAAGTTCACAGAAGTCTCTGTCTGTTCCTTTGCTATCAGTGTTGTTGATCCATGTTGTCAAAGTAGCCATATTTTAACAGGGGCTATTATTTCTATAGCCAAACACCTGGCTTATTTCAGATTTAAAACGTGTTTTGGTTAATAATATCAGTTGCAGTACATTATTTCTTTGATAACCATATTGATAGCTGTGTTGCTGAAAATTCTACTCACAATATGGAATGGATGTCGTATAATGGTATGGTTGGCATTTTAAATACATATATTATGTGAAGAGAGATCCAGGAGACTCCAAAAGATGTGCTTCTCCCTCAAGATTTTTTTTTTTTTTTGGTTTTTCTCCGGTACCGGGAACCGAACTCACGACCTTGCGCATGCCAGGCAGGCGCTTTTGCCGCTGAGCTAAATCCCCAGCCCCTCCCTCAAGATTTTTTTCTTACCAACTTTGTGAAGTAACAGCTGTTAATATTGGCACACATGGAGTTGAGCTGCTCTGTTGTTCCCTGTAGGCTTTCCATGATCCCTACTGGATATGATAAGAAGCAGAGGTGAGGTACCCGGTTCACCTCTGGCTTTGGGAATCCTACATGGACAAGAGCTAATAAACTTGCCAGGAAGGCACCTGCTTGTTTGCTGGGAATTCTAAGCTACCAGAGGATTTCCTGAATTTGTTGAGTTGGAACTGAAATGACTAGGAGTCTAGGAGTGTGTGTGAGTGTAGAGGAAGAGGGGAGGGGGGTGTAGTACCAGATGAGAGGCTTGCTTCTGGGGGGCTGACTTTATTATCATAGCCCAGATCTTTAATCCTGAGATCATTCTTGCAGACTACCAGTGTGCTGATTTGGGATTGTTGTGTGCCCCTCAGCTTCTGCATTGGGGCAGAGGCCTTTGTTTGGCATAGTGGAAAGAACACAGGCTTTCTGTGTTAGATCAGATTTGTTCATTTACCATTTCTGCAATTTTTGGCAAATGTGGTAAGTTGGTACCAGCTGGGATCTCTGTTTCCTCATTGTTAAAACAAGGTTGAAGGCAGCTGGTATTATGCCTGCTATATAGTGGACATGTAGTGTTATTTGCTAATATTGACACATCTCTTTGTTTACTCATTTTTATTCATTTACTGTTACTTGATTTTATTTGTTGCCCTTGATATGTCCAGTGTAGGCAGAATTCTGAAGGAATATACACTAGTTGACATAGCAGCACTTTTGAGAAAGAAACAGATTCCCTTCCTGCTACCTTGCCACTCACTCTGTGACAATTACTGTTAGTTCTTGGACTCTAGAATGTTGGAAAATAATCATGGCCATCAGGAAATACTTCACAAGGGAGGCTTTCTTTAATTGTAAGTTTTACTAAAAAGAGAAAAAGAAGAAAGCTAGTTTTTTCTATTTGTAATGGCAGCTTTGGTCAAAGGCATAGATACTGGGAGGAGTTGCTGAGGAATGAAGCTACAAAAATGTCAGCTTTCCAACAGGGTATTTTAGGGGTTTTGGAAGGAGGAATTATGATAGAAGATGAGGAAAAGAAAAAGTAGGAGGATGAGCCTGACAGGTCTTTATTGACTGCCTATCTTGTAATCCCTGGGCTCCTGTGGCCTTTGATGTTACCTAGAGCCAAGGTCAGATATTCTTCTGCAGTTCTTTTGTTGTGTGTCCTTGGGCAAACTGCTCACCTATCAAATGGGGATGAGATTTCCTTTATTTTTATTTATTTATTTATTTTTTGGTTTTGGTTTTTCTCCAGTACCGGGAACCGAACTCACGACCTTGCGCTTGCCAGGCAGGCGCTTTTGCCGCTGAGCTAAATCCCCAGCCCCGAGATTTCCTTTATTCTAAGACCCTTCAACTAAAATCATGGAAGAAATGGGGGGGAACATTTCCTCATTAAATTATTCATCACTTGTGGGCATTTATAAGGTGTCTTCTGGTTAAGAAATGGTAATGTGATTTTTTTATAAATGTAGTTTGGAAGAAAGGTAATACGGTAATACCTATCTTAGAGATCTTGGGAAGATTAATAAGATAATGTATGGTAAGTGCCCATTCAAGTTAGTATTCAGTGAATTGTAGCTACAGTATTACTAACAGATGAAAGGACATGAAAAATAATTTGATTGGCAACATCTAAAAGAATTTCAAATAACAAGGTGGTCATAATATGAGTAGGATCTGAAACAGGCCTACAACGAGAGGAGAGAAGATGAGGTAAAAGTTTAAATGATGATACGGAGATCAGATAAATATGTATATGAGAAAATCTTATGTCTGAAGACAAAATTTTCATTGTTTTAGATAACTTTATGGCATACATTTCAGTATAAATGAGAATGTGGTAGTCACGTGGGCTACATTGTCTCCTGTGCCAACTTCTGGTCATGTTACAGTATTTCTAACCTTATTACTGCCTGAGCTGTTAATCACAGTACGTAGAATAAACCATTGCTTAATTCATAGGTAATTTTAAAAAAAACACACACACACATTGGGGCAACTTAGTGAGACTTTGTCTCAAAAGAAAGAAAAAAGCGTTTGGGATGTATGTAGCTCAGTGCTACAATACTTGCCTAGCATATGTGAAGCTCTGGGCTCTATCTCTAACATTGAGAAAACAAACAACAAAAGTGCTGTATTTTATTTTTGTTGTTTTTGGGGGTAGGGTGGAGTGGGGTAGACAGCTACTCAGGGACTTGTTTGAGTTTATTAGTTCAGTTATTGGCTAGGAAATTCTTTGCCTAGATTTTAAAATTTTATGTTTTGATTTGAGTGATATGGAAGTTTTAGCTCTTTTTTCTTTCTTTTCTTTTTTTTGTCCCAGGTCCAGCAAGACTATGAATCTCTGTTCCAAATGCTTTGCTGGTAAGTGCAGAAAAGGGTTTAAAAATATTTTTATTTTTCTTCTTTTGGTTTTTAAGATTATTGAAATTATTTGACTCTTGATCTGTGCGTGGGATTTTGGTTTCTTAGCATTGTCAACCAGTTTCTCCTTAGCACAGTGCTGTGTATATTTGCCTAGGGCTATTAAAATATAGTAGTTACCCCTGAGTGAAATGGAATTTCATGTGTACTTGTACCAAACACACTTTTCTTGGTTTACTGTTGTTGGTACACGATGGAATTACAAAAATGAATTTTAGTATTTATCTCTGAGCTTGACTTGCATGGTTGATGGTGGATGTTGTGTTACTGATGCAGATACAGCAGGGAGAGTATTTTCATTGATGTCAGGAAGAGAATCACATTGAGTTAGCTCCTTTTAATCATATCCTTTCCTTGCAGTAACCTAGAATCTCAAGTCACTTAATCTCTTAGATTCATCATTTGTGAAGTGAAGGACTGGGGCTTGATGTTAACCAAGGGTCTTTCCTAGCCTCGAAATGCTGCTGATGCTACCCCTCCTTTCCCCACCTTCTACTCCTCAAAAACTTTATATCTTTGATTTTATAGTGCTAAATTTTTACTAATCAGGATATGTTTAACTTTCCTTTATTCATTTTGTCAAAAGTAAACAAACTTGGACACTATTTAAAATGGTAAGGACAGGGGCTGGGGATTTAGCTCAGCAGCACAGCTCCTGCCTGGCAAGCGCAAGGTCATGAGTTCGATTCCCGGTACCGGAAAACAAACAAACAAAAAACAACAACAAAAAACCCAAAACAAATAAAATGGTAAGGACAGATTTTAATCAGTAAAATCACTGTTGTAGTAGAGAGTGTAGTTAGCTTTTACAGAAGTGGTGGGCCATTTAAAGGGCACTGAAGTGATAGGGAGGGGTTGAACAGAGGCTCCGTGTGGTCAGAGAAATGGAAAAATTACAGGGAGTTGGTAAAATATTCTGATTATACCAACTGTGTCTGTTAGCTGACAGTTATTGAAGTTAGGATTCTATTTTCCTACAGAGGATGGGAGATAGAGATCCTGTCTTTCTTGATAATTATTACATTTAAGGAATGACTTTCAGGTCTTTGAAAAAGACATGCCAGAGTTGTAGGGTAAAATGTCTCTGTCTGTCTTGTCTGTCTGTCTGTCTGTCTATCTGTCATCTATCTATGTAATCTATCTCATAGGGACAGAGGAAGGATTTACAGTTATAATCCATTTTTAGTAAATAGTCTAAGAAGATGATTAGGGGCTGTTTTAAGTGTTTACTAGAACTAGTAGTAAATTCTTATGGCAGCTTTGAGTTTAAAGAGATAAGACAGGTCAAGAGGGGGAAGGATCATCCTAGGGATGTAACCTTTAACAAATAATGAAATCATTTGTTGAGTGCCTTTAGTTTTTATGTTTTTTGTTTGTTTGTTTTTGTTTTTCTCCGGTACCGGGAACCGAACTCACGACCTTGCACTTGCCAGGCAGGCGCTTTTGCCGCTGAGCTAAATCCCCAGCCCCGCCTTTAGTTTTTAAATGTGCAGGTTGAGGCCTAGTCAAGAAAAGGGCTCAGAATTATTTTGCCTCTAATGAAATATTGTGCTAAATGGTAAATATCTCTCCCTGCCCCCAGTGACCACCATCACATTAGTTGCTAGCACATTGTATAGGAAACAGTAGTGTCACTTACTAATAATATTGTTAGAATGAGAAATGCCTGTGTCAGACATTATTATATATGTAGAGGAGGAGCCAACTTGACTGGATTTGCTAAAGGATTGCTCACAACTCAATCAAAATTCTTCTCTTTGAGAGGATATTACTTTTACTTTCATTGTTTTGACATCCTTCTTGAACCCTGGTGTGGCCTCTTTTAAAAGATAAAATTACTTAAGATAGTTTTGTCACAAATGCATGGAATGCTAGCCTTAAAAGTCCTTTGATCTGAAGACTTTTGTCATCCAAGATTTTCTATGCCAGGATCTTCTAGGTTATTTAAAGGAGGTATTCTGGGAGAGCACCAGGAAGTGATTGATTTAGTATTTCAGTTTGTGGTAGAATGGATTTAAAATGCTCCTCTAGATTCTCTTTTTATGAGAGTATTAGTCTTAGAGAGGAAGATTAATTTTATTATATTTTACTATATTTTCTCTATTTCTGTAATAATTCTTGTTGCAATTTTTTCAAACTTTCCCTCTCCCTTTTGCATGTTCTGTTTTTCCCTTTTCTCAAATCACAATTTTTGTAACATGTTTGGAAATCTGGGTATCTCTCCTTAAGGCTGAGTAGTCTGCAAAGACAATTTATTCTGTGAGCAGAAGCCAGAAACACCTGTAGTTTGGGTAAGGAATCTCCCACCTTTGGGAGATTCTCCCACCTTTGGTGATCATAAGTGGGAAAGACAGAAATTTTGAAAGGACGAACTGAAGTAATGTAGCTGGGGATATAGCTCAGTGGCACAGCATCTGCCTGGCAAGCGTGAGGGTCCTGAGTTCGATTCCCGGTACCAGAAAAAAGAATAAACCTAAGAGACTAACAGAAGAAATGTAGACATGTTGAGGGGGTCAGAGAAGTGTGACGAGTAGGAAATCATGTACTCTGTTGATCATTTTTTTTTTTTTTTTTGGTTTTTCTCCGGTACCAGGAACCGAACTCACGACCTTACGCTTGCCAGGCAGGCGCTTTTGCCGCTGAGCTAAATCCCCAGCCCTCTGTTGATCATTTTATACATTTTATAAACAGCCTGAAAATACGTTCCAAGGGATGCAATATTCTTCGAGTAGTATTCAGGACAGATGCCTATCAGAAGATAGACTTTATGTATGCTTAATGTACAAAGTACCAGTTGTTCTTTGGACTTTAGACCTTTGTGGGTATTTAATTTTTAATAATTTTTTGTAATTTCTTTAAAAATGGGCACTAATATGTCTGTCATTTATGACTAAGCCAAAATTATTTTGTTGAAAAATCAAAGTAAACAATTTCTTTTAAACTGTATGTGAGACTTAAACATACTATTCTATTTAAGACGAACAAGTGCGCTATTCTTTGATTCGCATAAAATTGAGTGAATAAAAGAGAGATGGTTATTCATAGCAGATGAAAAATTTTAAAAACACCTTTTATAGACTAGTTCCTTTAAAAAGAAACACTTTTAATGCATCACCTTGTTGATAGAAAGGTATATGATGAGAACTAAAGTGTATGGGTTTCTTTTCAGTTGTTGATTAATTAAAAATGTAGATAAAACATCCCTCACATTATACAATAATAGTGAAATTTTGTTTCCTGATATTAATTGCAGTGTAATTTTTCAAATACTCTGTGTGTGCATATAGCTGATGGGATAAAGTTAGGAGGTAATACAGGGAAAATTTATTTTTGATAGTTTCAGGCAAGGTAGAGTAATTGGGGGAATTTAAAATTTAATTTTGTGTATATTTAGATTTGAGTATTAATATAAATACACAAATTGAAAGTATTTAAAAAGCTTGTTTGACAGACTTAGAAAGTTGTTAGTTTCTTTCTGGAATGAGCAAAATTGTTAGCTGCATCCTGCAGCAAAGGGAATTTAAATGTTGACATTCAAGGTAAGTGATGCAATAGTTCTGTTTAAATGATAGGTAAACCAAAATGCAAATTTTTTCCCCAAGTACCTTCAGTTTCCTGGTAATTATCAGAAGATAACAAATTCCCAGTTCATAGCAAGTAATGTAAAAATTTCCTTTTATACTTATAACTCTTAATGCTTAGTTATACGCTAATCTCTTTTCTCCTCCCCTTTCCTACTAGAAGGCCAGAGTAAGGGTTACATGGTTTCAGTTACTTTTGAAAGGGAAGAGTTGTAGGTTATAGCTGAATCTTGAGGCTCTACAGTAGAATGAACAGTGAGTTCAATAATGTCAAGCTTTTGTTATTATTCATGCTTAGAGCAATTGCAGGAAGCCTGCACCCATCAGTAATATATAAAGACAAGTTACCTACTCTAATGAGCAAAATTTTTCCAGGATAGTAAAATAAGTAACCTTGTCAGACTTCTATATTTCAAATTACTTTTTCCCATACTTAAGGCAAAACATTTGAATAAACTCTGTCTTTGTAATTCTATTGATTTAATTACTTACTGTGTATACCCTGGTTTCTTAAAAGGTGAAAGTCTACAATTTTTTAAGTGTAACATACATACTGGTCATGTCTTTGTTAAACTTACAAAGACAGAAGGCTTTCTTAACCATTTTGTGTCTCTTGTCTGGCAGATGGACATGTGAAATTTAGAATATATAGAGTAATATCCACAAGCCCATGTAGAATTAACAAATATAAATGTGTTAATCTTTCTCTGTATATCATTAAAAAAGGCATTAAAATCTCTTAAGGACATACTGTCCAGTCTTTTATCCAAGTCATCATCTTCCCACCTCAATCACCACCATCTTTCTTATCCTTATATTTATACTTAGTACTGTAAATGATTATTTATGTGAACAGTGTATAATTTTTTTCAAAATGTGTAAATCATGTTTCAGTAGTCAGTCTGTGACTTAGTGTTTCAAATAATGCTTTCAGAAATAAATGATATTGACACAGTTGTTCTAGTTCTTTGTGGTGTTGGGGATCTAATCCAGGGCTGCATGTATGCCAAGATAACAATTTACCATTAACGTAGATCCCTAGTACAGTTCATCTTAACTATACTAATTTATTTTAATGTTTATATTTACCTGAACAGTTTCACTTAATGCTTTTTGTGCCAGTGAAAATATTAATAGCATTTCTTTGGCAGGTTGTTGTAGACCAAGAGGAAAAAATTTAGTAGTCATTGAGTCTTTCAAGGTAGTTTGGTAACTTTGCCTTCCTTTTGTCCATGTGTTCTAAAGCTGTGGTTTCCAGCATGGTACATGGGATTATCTGTTGGAGCATAGAGAGAAAAATGTAGAATGTCCATTTTTATTGTCCTTTAAGTAATTTCATCGATCTTTTTAATAATATGC